GATTAGATAATAGAGATAGAAGCCGGAATAATAAGGTACCTACTAGATAAAACTTATTTATATCCTTATTATTCCTCGAATACACGTTTATAATATATACGTGGCTTAGCGTGGCGTAGTCGGGCGTGTAGTTATTTACTTTATATTATCTAATATCCTTAATAGAATTAGATAGCTATAATTCTTATCTTATAATATTATATTATAGGCGACTACGTCTAGGACGGTATATAGCTATATATATATAAGGTACTACGTTAGTCTTATCCCATTTTATATTTATATACTTATCCCTAGGTACTCTCCGAGTATCGTGCGCCTATATTTTATTATATTTAAGTATTATATTCTTCTATACTTTTAAAGTACGCGATATTTAGGTTTACTATATTCTATATATATTATAGTTAAAGTCTAAAGGTGGGGGCTTTGATTAGAGTGTATATTTTTTTATATTTTCTCTTTAGATAGTAATATCTTCTAATATAAAGGCTAGAAGTAGTTTTAAAAGTATAAAGGGGATAACTAAAGGAAGTCTACGTTATTAGGCCGGGGCTCGTAGTAGATATAGAATTATATTTATTTCTTAATTAGTAGATACTAGTTAACGTGCCTAGTAGCGCCATATTATCTAATAGCGTATCTATACTAGAGTAGACGTAATAGAAATACCCTTAATAGATCTTTAATAGAGCTAAACTATCTATCTAGTAGGATATTATGACTATATCTAAAATAGATATAGAGATATACTTACTAAGAAGCCGTAACTAAGTAGCCCTAATATATAAGTCTAATCGTATACTATTACTAATTAACTTCTATATCTTTATATATTATAATACCGCCGTCTCGGTCGGTATCCTTATAGTCTCTATTATCCTAGCCGCTAGTAGTTACTTCGTTAGTAGTATTAGCTCTAGTAGTATTAGTTCTAGTAGTATTAGTTCTAGTAGTATTAGCTCTAGTAGTACTAGCTCTAGTAGTATTAACTAGATTATTACTATTTATACGTGCTAGTAATTTAGTACGGCTAGAATAATAACGCTAAGTATAACTAGTAGTCTTATAATTATAATAAAACGTACCTATAAGCGTCTTGGGTTTAGGGTAAATATTAGTTTTATAGCTAATATTCTAATAGTTATTAGATATAAGTGTCGACCCTCTTAGATACTTAATAGACTTATATTCTTTAATATTATATTTATAGTAGACTAGCGGCTTATAGGGCTTAGTACTATTAGTAGTTTATTAATTACTTTATTCTTCTCTCTCTCTAATACTAAGTATAGAGTAACTATATTAGTAATTAGATATATTAGAGAGTAGAGGGAGGCTATCTAGGTCGGGGGTCGTATATATATATATTATATAAATCTTAGAGTACTTATTCTATATCTCGCTAAGTACGCTATCTAGGACTTTCTACCTCTTAAGAGATACGAAGTTAGTAATAATAACTATTATCTATTTAGCACGCGTAATAGTAACGATATTATAGTTTACTTCTAAGAGGAAGCCGAAGCGATTAGTTTAGACTAGGTCGATAAGGACTATATTATTATTATAACCCTAAGAACCGTTCTATAAACGCCATTAGATAAGCTTCTATACCGGCTTAGGTAGGGTATTAAATTAAGCTTTATCCGCTACGGTAAGTATAGTTAGAAGCGAGTTCCTAACTATCCCTTTAAATAGATTACGTTAGATAGCGTATATAGAAATATAGAGTACACGATTAAGTATAACGCTATAATAGAGTAGCTTAGTAATGATCTACTAAGTAAAACGTAATAAGTCTATATTATATATTAAGTTATTTACCGTATACACGTAATCTCTATTAATATTAGCGTATATAACGTGTTAATAGCTATGGATTCTAAATATTTATTAAACGGTCTCTATAAGTAGTATATTAATATTATTCGTTATATAGGGCGAGGTTGTTAGCTCGCCTAAGTAAGTAATTAGTAATATAATATTTATTATTCTAGGAACTAAGCGTTCTAACTTGGTAAGGTAAGTAGTCGGGAAGCTATATTATATCTAGCGCTTTATAAAGGAGATCCTCTAGTTCGCGGCCTATATATTAGTACTATTATACTAGTAGGTATTAAGCTAGCGTAGGTTACTAACGTAAATAAATGTCGGTTACTATTCTATAGTAGTATAATTAATAATAATCCTAAGTATATTACTTTTAAGGATATATATAGCCTCTTCTATTATAACTAAAATCGGATATATATTATAGACTACCTTAGCGATATTTATAATATATAGGGTCCCTATATAAATCTAGGCATAGATAGTAACTAGGTCCTAGGTAGCGAGGTATAGCTCGTTTATCCTATTATACTTCTCCTTAGATATATCCTTATTATAAGTATAATATTTATAGATAGTATATAATAGCTAAGCCGTTTCTTTCTCGAAATTCTTAGGGATCTATTTATATTAGTATTAAGATTTAATAAGTCTAATAACCTTAAGCGTAACGTAACTAGTATATAGTTCCTATAGATAAGTATAGGGATCCGTACTATATTCCGATAGTTATTTACTATAGTTAGCCTAAGCTTACACGAGGATAGTACCGCCTATTATATTATTCTAGGTTAGTCTAATAAGAGGGTTACCGTAATAAGATAGTCTAGCTATAGTAAAGAAAACCTCTTAATTAACGGCTTCGGCGTATCTTTAAAGAATAACTAGTGTCTTTAGAGACTTATAGTAAGTAAATATATTACTTATATATTTATATACTTTTCTTATAGCGTCGTTATAGGTTTCGTTAGTTAGGCCGATAATAATATATATATATATATTCTCTATATTTAGGTAGAACCTAGTATAGGGAGGTATACTATTACATTACTAGATAGAATAACTACCTTAGTAGTATAAGCGATAATAGAAGTACTATTTATTTTATTAATTAGAAGTATAGCTAGTAGTAGATAAAGCTATAAATAGCTCTTTCTAGCTCCTCTATAGCTATAAAGTAGAAACTAAGCCCTAAGTACGTCCGTCGCCTATATATAGATATACTATTATTAGGGAGATAGTTCTAAACATATAATATTCTAGAGATTATAGAATCTTTTATAATCTTTAACGTAGTGGTTATAGTCGACAGGTTAAAGATTTAGGTAGTTATTACTAAGTATTAGATTCTATATAGAGGGTAGTAAAGAGAATAGGATACTAGAGTAGACTTTAGATAATATTAGAAGTATATATATATTAGCGATAGGGCTAGTAATAGAACCTTCGTTACTAATAATATCGTAACTATATTCTATATTTATATCCTTATTATTATCTAGGGATATAGATAATTTAGAAAGAGTAATAAGAGTATTCTAAGGCTCTATACTATAATCTAGAATCTTATTATTAGAGTTAGAGAACCTATATATTAGAGATATAGATACTAAGTCTATAATAATATTAAGGACTATCGTATTAAACATATCCTAAGTAGTATAGTCGTCTACGCCGCCGTCTCTAGAAGCTTATATAGCGTAGTAGGTTAGTTTCTAGCACGTATTAATATATTACTTAGTAAGCTTATTATAGATTTATATACTAACTAAAGCCGGAACGTCTATAAACCCTATAAGCGTAGTAAGAGACGACCTAATTATACTTAAACTAGTGTTACTAGTCCGAATAAAATATTTAGGATAAGCTTAAGTTATATTAGTAACTATATCTATTAATATAATTAGTACCTTAGATACTTTAGAAGGACGCCTAACCTTATTAAAGACTTTTAGAGTAAGGTATTCGAATAGAAGGACGCCTAGACGAAATTAAAGGACTTTAAAGCGGTATATATCGTTATTATAATTCTTTAAATCTACTTTAAGGTACCCATAACTACCTAGTTCCATATAATAGAATCCTTTTATATTAATAGAATAGACGATAGCTAAGAGCGCCCGAGTAATACCTAAGAGCTAGATATATCTAATAGTAACGTCTTAGAATTAGAATAATAGAAGATCCGTCTATTCGTCTTATAAGGTACTTATAGTAATATATATTAGATAGTTAAATTTCTTATTAAATAACTCGCGGTAGAGAATAGAGATCTAGAGCTAAGTGTCTAGTCTACTTATTATACCGTATTATATATAGGGAGTAGTAACTCCTATATACTATGAATTAATTAGATTACTCTCTAGTTTAAGCTTATTATTAAAGTTAGTAAGATCTATAGAGTTACGTAGCGGTAGTAAGATATAAACTATAGTATAAGTACCTAGATCTTCGAAGAATTACTTTACTTATTTATATATTATATTAGGTCTAATATATAATAGAATAGTAAAACCTATACTAAGAAGCTCGCTAGCTATAAGTTTAATAATCTAAAAGTTATAAGGGTCTTCGTAGAGGCTAGTATTAGTATATAGTATATTAGCTTTATCTGCTTCGCTTATAATAAGATTAGAAAGTTTAGAAAAATACTTAATAAAGTTATCTACTTACTTAATCTTAAAGATCTATACTGTAGGGTAGTTGGATAATAGAAGGATATTAGTATGATTAAAGCGGAGTAAGCTTATTAAGGATACTAATTTCTCTTTATTAATCTATTAGAAGCGAGTATATAACTTAATCTAAGAGTAGTACTTAGGGAATTTAAGGAATCTATATATATAACTAATCGACTCTTTAAAGCTATAACCTTTACCACGAGCCTTAAATACTACTAGCTTAAGCTTAGCTTAAGTTTTCGCTTATTTCTACTTAAGTCTATCTATTTCTCTACTAATACTATAGATATTCCTAAAGGTTAACTATAGATTACTCTATATAAGAGAGATCTAATAGATAGCGTAAGTAGAAACGGGAGCCTTACTACTTTAGACCTTCTTAAGTTTATACTCGTCGTTAGAATAGTAGTTACTAGTAAGTATACTAAAGACGAGTAGTTTATTATCGATTAAGATAGTAGTTATATTATAAGCTTCGACTTAAGCGTAAGACTTAGCTTAAATATAAGAATTAGCTTAAATATAAGGCTTAGCTTAAACATAAGAATTAGCTTAAGTATAAGGCTCGACTTAAACGTAAGGCTTAGCTTAAATATAAGACTTAACTTAAACGTAAGAATCGGCTTAAGCGTAAGGCTCGACTTAAATATAAGACTCGGCTTAAACGTAAGGATCGGCTTAAACGTAAGACTCGGCTTAAACGTAAGACTCGGCTTAAATATAAGACTTAATTATATTAAGTATAGACTAGTTCTAAATATTACTAAATATAACGAGTTCTTAATCTATACTATAAACTATAAATATAACCTCGCTAACTATTATATAGAATGGACCTTAAGGGTTAATAGAGTTAAGTTTAATATAGCGTTTATATACAGTCGTAATTAACACGGAATAAAGTATAGAAGGTAAGATTTAGGTTTAAAAACCAAGATAAGTAGAGAAAAGGTTTATAGAAGTTTTCTTTTATAATATAGGGACGACTAAAGGAAGCTAAGATTAATATAGACTAAAGTAATAGTAGCTTAAGTAGTATATAAAGTAGGGTAGTATACTACTATTATATAAGTCTAGTAGCTTACCGACCGAGTATATAGTACGTTATAGAAGGCTATTAAATTAGAGCTTAGATAAATATAGATATAAGTAAATAGTATTATATAAAAGTTTAGCTATCTAATATACTAATACTATAGACGCTAAGCCTATCTTCTAAATTCTATAGTAACTATCTCTTCTAGATAGTAAGATATTACTAGCTATGCCTTACCTATTCTATTTATAGTAGAGATACTATATATCTATTAGTATACTAGCGTACATGTCTAACTACTACTTAAATATAACTTACTTTATACTATAATACGTACTATTAAGCTAATATTATACTAATATTTATAGGTTCGTGTCTATAAACTCCTCTCCCGTAATATTAAAACTAGTAATATTATCTAGCGATAGAACTATATAAGAAGAAGGCGGACTTAGTATATCTAGTTATATATAGACTTCTACTATCGCCTTAATAACTACTATACTAGTAGACGCTTCCTCCCCGGCCCTAAATAGTATATAATATTAGACTTTTATACGTTCGCTTAAACTCTTAAGTATACTAATATTATATATTAATTTATAAGGTGATTAGGTTATAATTACTAGTATATTAATATTAATAGATAGAGTAGATAGAACGGCGGCGCTTAACTCTCCTAATATAATATTAGCTAGCTAATAATATAATAGATAAATATACTAGTTACGTCGTTATTAACGTCTATTATTTAAGTAGATAAAGTATTAACTACGCCTATATTAAGTAGACTAGGGTATATCTATATACTATCGACGAAAGACCTAAATCTAGTAAGGTATCTACTATATATATAACTCTATACGTAACCGATAACCGAAAACCTAAGATATATAAATAGTATTAGGTCTACGGAAGAGCGATAGCATTATACTAGTATATACTAGATATACTAGTATATATTAAAATATACCGCTTAGTAGTCGTAATATATTAATATATACTAATATCTATTAGCGTATATATATCTCGAGCTTATCTACGCGCGCTAGATAGAGAAATTCTACTACTATACTTATAGCGCGACGTTCCTATATAGTTAGATTATAGTTAATATATTATAGTAGACTTCTAAATATACCGTTTATATCGCCTACGCGGAAAACCACCTAATCTAGTCCTAAGCCTAGTATCTATTTAATAGCCTACTATAATACCTAGTCTAAACTATCCTTATAAAGGATTATATTACTCGACTCGCTTAGTAGAATCGGGTATTCTAGGTAGACGCGACCATGCCTATAACTATCTATATCCCCTAGTATATCTATAGATAAGCTAATAAATTCTAATAGTTTATTTATACTAAGACCTACTATATTATATATTTTTATACCCTTAATATTTAATAGCGTCGTGCTATTCTATATAGCCGTTATTAGTACTAGGGTAACCCGAGTACGATCGCGGATAAGGACTATAGATATATATATATATATAACACGGTAGCATAGCTACTTTAGAAGATATAGATACTAGTAGTCCGATAGTCGAATAACTAGGTTAGCTAGATATATTAGACGGGTTTATAGAGTATATATAATATTATAATAGCTCGTCTAGCCTAGGGCATCGTTTTAACATATATAATAGTATTTAGCTAACCGCCGCTAGTTACGCGTAAATACCAAGAATATAGTATTAAGTTAATATATAGTATCTATCTATAAAATAGTATAACTACTATTAATAAATATATATTTATCCGCGACTATCTAGAGGTAATACTCTCGTTTTATATAGTAGTCCTTTACTTCCTTACTACGTAGGTTTAGTAATAGACTAGTAAATTCCTCTTAAATTAACTCTTCTATATATACCCGAAGTTTCTACCTATCGGACGCCCTAAATATATAAAGTATATTGAGACTTACTTCTACTCGGCTATTTATTCGCGGCTAGCTAGACGTAGCTATAGATAGATAGAATAGAGAATAGGGTATATTACTAGGGTAATAGAGAGATAATATATATACTCTATATAATAGACGTAGATATAACACGTATATTACGGCTATATCGATATAAGTAGTCCGTATAGTTATTAGTAATAACTCGTTAATTTAATAGAGGCGGGGAAATATATAACTAGTATCCGATCCCGTACTAATATAGAGCACGTGAAATAACGATATTAAATATATAATACTCTATATATAATATTAAGTATAATAGATAATAGCTCTACTCTAGTAATACTATCTATATATAATAAAAGAGTAGCGTAGTATATAGGTATAATAGAATAGTAGACCGTCTTTATAACTATATAGATCTACCGTTAAAGAGGAATACTATAAGATCTAGTATATACTATTATAAATATACTATTATCTATTATATTTAGGTATACTAACTCGGCGTACACGAAATATAGATAACTACTAATCTATTATAGTTCGCTATTATTTAAAGCCTAATAAGTAGAACCAAGGAATAAATAGTAGAAATAGTTAGATATAAGAGTTTCTAGTAATTAGAGAATAGTCTAGGTAGCTTAAGAGAAGGATAGAGGACCTCCGCAAAGTATATACTTATATAATATTAATATATAAATATTTAAGAGAAGTACGTAATACTAACTATTATCTCTATAATAGATTATTATTAATTAGTACTATTATTAAGAAGAGATAGACAAGCGTAATAATAAATAATTATAGTAGTAAACCCTTATATTAAACACGAACAATACGACATATTAGTATAGTATATTTATCTATTATAAGAACGTATATCTAGTTACCGTAGTTTCTAACGGTCTATATAAGAATATATATATTAATAATATAGTAATATAAGTCTAACTATACTTATAAGGCTAGAGAAAGAATAAAGAAAGAGAAGAAGAAATATTAGAAGAGGGAGATACTTAAGAAAGACGTTTCCCTAGTAAGAGCGTTATATACCTAGTATATACTTATTTATACTTATTTATATAGACTTATTATATACCTAGTACTTATTTATTAATAGACTCGTTACGTATCTAATACTTACTTAACTATAGACTTATTATATACCTAGTATCTAATAAGGTATAAACGCGGATAATAAAAATATTAGAATTAGATATAAGCTAGGTCTAGTAGGCCTAGAGATATAGTTTAGATTTTAGGGTATTAATATATATAATCTATCTATATTAGATTAATACTATCCGTATCTAGTTCTACCCGTAAATAAGAATCCTTTTAGTTCTATATACCCCTTTTACAGGCGTGGAGTTTTTATACTAGCTAGTAATTATTAGATAATAAGGAGGTGTATCCCTAGATACTCCTTAGCTAAAATTATAGATAGTTATTAAATATAAGTCTATTATAGAACTAATTATAATAAACCACGATTATTCCTTAGAGATATTCTAGTATAGAATATAACTATCGAGTACTACTATATATAAACCATTACTTCCGCTATATACCGGTATATACTAGTATACTATAGTAGGCGGTAGTAGATAGCGATAGACTTACGATACGTACCCGTGTTTTAACGCTATAGTTATATTTCGTCTATTTATAGCCTAGAAGTCTAGGTTATATATCTTATTATAGATCCTCTAATTACTATATATATCTAACTAGAATAAACTATCTATAACTAACCAACGTAATATAATCTATATAGGGTATAGAATATACTCTAGCTCGTAGACACGGAACCTATCTATCGTACGAGTCTTATTACTAGACCTTTAACCTACTATATATAATAGTATAAGACTACTAATAGTATTAATATTACCTCTACCCAAGTTATTAAGTAGTTTAACTAATATACCTAGGAATCGCGCTACTATACTACTAGTTACGTCGATACTCTCCGTATTATATATCTCTAGAAATATATAGACTTTACTAACCCGCTTCCCGTTAAGGTAGTTACTACCCTTATTAAACTTCTATACTATTATATAATTCTCCCTAGCCTTACTACTCTTTTACTAGTTATAGATATACCTTATCTAAATTAGGTTAAAGGCCTCTATAGATATATCTCTATCTAGTTGTATTAGTATATATATAGTCTTATATATATAGATAGAAAGGACCCGTGTCTATAAGGGTCCTTTTTAATATATTTAATATTCGTATCTTTTAATATATTATCTCTAATAAGCTAATTACGATAGTTACGTATAAAAGGTATAACTATATTAAATAATATAAAACTACTACTATATATATTATAGAGGTCGCTAATAGTAGTCTAGTAGAATATAGATAGTCTATAGCTCTATAAGACGTAGAGTATATATTTACTCTAGTATAGCTTCTTTAGAATACGCTACTAGCTAACTAGCTTATATATATTATTAAGCTACTCTAGGCTAGGGGCTACTAATATACTAGTACTAGCCGCTACCTCTATACTACTAGAGATTTTAGTATTCATTATATATATATCTACTACTAGTATCTACTATAGAAACGTCTCCCTCTTATTTAAACCTTAATATAATTTCTTTACTATAATATAAGATTACTCTAGTAGCTCTACCAATATTAGATATAATAAACTATAGTATTTAATAGTATTAACTAGGTAT